GCTGTTTCTTCCCATTTTGAGTCATGCCACATCAGTAAATGGAGGCCCTGAAAGCTTTACCGATCCACATCATTAAGATGACTGTATTTTGAAGAGGCAACTCTTCCCCACTCATATTTTGAGTGTCTTCCGACCTGAGGGACTCATCTTCTGGCACACTATCAGACAATATTTCAGGGATATTCATAAAGTTTTCCAGTGATATACCAGACATTTTCACTGCTATTCAAAAGGTTTGCACTGGCCAATTCTTAGAGAAGTGGATGTTTCCTTCCTTCTTGCAAGTCTTTCTTAGTCTGGAAGCTCTGCTGAAACCTGTCCACCACAGGTGACCCAGCTGGTATTTGAAATAACAGTGGCCTAGCCTCCAGCCTCATAGCCACATGCAAGCCACCATAGTATGACAAACTAACTGATGAGTGGTGGACAGGCTCCATAGTATTTAATATAAGAATGCTGATGTCATTAGCTGTTGTGGAGTCAACCCCCCGTCCATGGCTGGTCCTATACTAACCCCATGATGAGTTGTGGATCACACAATTGTGATCCATAGGGATTTCAATGACTGATTTTCAGTAGATTGCCAGGAGCTTCTTCTTAGTCCATCTTAGTCTGGAAGCTCCACTGAAACATATTCAGTATCATAGCAACATGCAAACCCCCAGGGACACATGAGTGGTGGCTGCATGTGAGGTACATTGGTCAGGAATTGAACTCAGGTCTTTCACATACAAGAGTTTAATAATTGATTACAGTTTCAAGTGGAATAAGTACTGTACCATTAGTTTCATTGTTCATATCTACAGATATGTGTTTTGGCCTTATCTGATATCCCTCATGGTAAAAGCTGCTCCAGCCCTGGGGTGAGGGTCATGTGTGGACATGATTATTTTTGGATTATAAAATCTCAGAGCAAGTGCAGGCTTAGTTGTTTTCTAAGAATTACTTATAGTCTTTCAAACTTAACATTAAAGTTTAAAAAATATATTTTTATGGAGAGATTGGAACTCTCATACACTGGTGGTGGGACTGTAAAATGGTACAACCACTGTGGAAAGCAGTATGGTGATTCCTGAAAAAGTTGGAATTAGAAATATCATTTGACCCAGCCATTCCATTACTAGGTATATATCCTAAAGAAATGAGAGTCATGACATGAAAAGACATATGCACACCCATGTTCATCACAGCACTATTTACAATAGCCAAAAGACGGAAACAACCTAGGTGTTCATCAGCTGAGGAATGAATAACCAAACTTTGATACATACACACAATGGAATACTATGCAACCTTAAAGAATAACCTAGAATCTGCAAAACACTGCATAACGTGGATGAACTTGGAGGACATTATGCTGAGTGAAATAAGTCAATCACAGAAGGACAAATATTGTATTAGTCTGTTATGGTAAAAGTCAAGGAAAGGTTTATCTATAGAAGGAAATTTTCTTAGTTGGTTACCAGGGGTAAGAAGGGAGGGGACAGAACACTGTTAGATAGGTAGATATAAGTATTGATTTGGGTGAAGGAAGGGCAATGTACCAAATGTGAGTGATCAACATGGTGGCACTGAGGAAGAGGAAGACATAGAGAGGTAAATGGGAGGTACAGACAACAAAGATGAACCCTTGTGCACATACAGTACTGTGTTGTCAGTAAAGGCAAACATGGGTATATGGGTGGATAAATTGGTGGACAGGCTGAACTATTAAGTATGTCTATGAAGCAGGGGGTGTTCCTAAAACCATGTATATGGTTGGCAGACAATGGTCTTATAAGTGTATTTGTATGATCTGAATTCCCAGGTGTATAGTCGAGCTGACAAGGGACAAGGTTGTAGTCACTTCTTGGTCACAGCCAGCTACCCAGAGGGACCAAGTAGGTGCACCTGTGGTCTCGGGACCATAGTTGCAGAGGACATCAAGCTCAGTTGGCATAACATACTACACAAAACATCATTCCACCTCCTACTATGTCAAGTAGCAACTGGGATCTTAAAAGCTTGCAAGCAGCCATCTAGATGCAACGATGGGTCTCTCCTCATCCAGAGCAAAGAAGAATGAAGAAAACCAAAGATTCATGGAAACAATTAGTCCTAGCAACTGGTAAACCATGCAGTCCCCAGCCTATACGACTATGAGACCAGAAGAACTAGATGGTTCCCAGCTACCGCTGTCAACCACTCGGAGGAGGATCTATGTAGGAGATCCTGGATAGAGTGGGAGAACAATGTGGAACAAAACTCAAAATCATTTGGGAAAAAAGGGAGGGGACCAGGTTTGCTGGTCTGATAGAGCTTGGTGGAACCCCTGAGACTATGGCCCCTAGCTTCCCTTCAGATCTGAAACTAAACCCATACCTATGGCTTCTAGCCAAACAAAAGGTATATACATATACACACACACATACACACATGTATATATTTTTAAAGATTACTTTTCTTTTTTTTTTTTCCAATTAATTAAGGACTTAACAAGGTTAAAAGCTAATGAATAGTCCTAAGTCTTGGTGTTCAAGCCAATGGGGCTCTGACTATAGGCTTCACTGCCTTCTTACCATGCTCTTATAGGTAACTGGAACAAATTAAAGAAGGTTCCAGTGTGAAATATACATACATAATACCCTATATATCAGTCCCATACATTCTCCAAGATTGCATTCTAGCTACAGGAGGGAAGATATTTAAAAAATAAAATAAAAACTTGCAAGAATTTGCCAAAACTAATGGCATCTTGTGATTCCATGGCTGATACTTGAGATCACTGTGAGAAAAAAGGGACTGTTTCTTGTTCAAAGCCCCTGCTTAACGTCTCTGAGAACAAGTGCCCAATTGACCCAAAGCTCCCTGATGTCTCAATGTCAGAGCTCTTGGGGAACTATACCCTTGCAAGGTCAGGAAGTTAGGAGGAAGAAAAAGTAAACAAAAACAGCTCTCGCTGGATATTAAATCTTTCTTTTTTACTATGTAAAGAACAGAGTCCAGAAAAGGAAAAAAAAATTAAATTGAAGTTTCATAGAAAGAAGGCTAGAGAAAGAAAATCATCTCTTGGATGGGATGTCAAAAAGTAGATTGTGCCCTCTTTCTTCCTTTCCTAATGTCCTCAGGTTGTCAACTGTAGAAAAAATAGTACATTGTCTTAGGCATGTTTGTGATACTGGGGTCCAGTCCCAGACACCAGGGTCATAAACAGAAATAATGAGAAACATCTACATAAACATCATCACTCATTTTTTCAAAAGCATCTTTGAAAGTATTTCTTTGTAAGTTTGTATAAGATTTGAAGCCATGAAAGAGGGAAAATGTGAAATAAAGGGAAGTTTGGAAGGTCCACTTTGGCACAAAGGCAAGATAAACAATTTTCATAACCTTAGTTCACTTTGATTTCCTACAGGTCTTGTGTTTTTTAAAGTCCTAAGTAGAGCACAGAATAACTCAAAAAACACTCTTGTACATGAATGGAATGCACCACATTGTATATGAATGGAAGGACTTCCAGTGGAATTGCAGCTATTTTTTTTAGAGCTTTGTTTATTTTAATGGGCAGATTTGCAGGAACAAGAACAACAAAAACCAAAAGCTTTACTGTTGCTAGATTTAAATGGGGCCAGAAGACATTAAACTGAACCACATTTCTGGGACAACCAGATTTATTCCATGTTCTTCAACATTTTTATTTTGTATTTTGCTATCACCTGGGGATACTTGCATTTCCACTGTTTCTTTATCTTTAAATCATCTGACAATCTCTTTTGTTCCTCTCTGAAGAGGCAATACTGTTTTTCAAATCCCCAACTAAGATTCAACCTTCTGGCAACAGGTCAAAGTCCAATGCAAATGAATTTAAAACATCAAGTATGGTCATTACAGTATTTAGTGCCTCATTAGTTGAAAAGAACAAATGTTCTATAAAGGTTATCTATCACGACATATACACTTTCATTCTCTGTCTAGATTTGTAGTTACTTTACCTGAAGCTTGACATGTGAATTTTGTGTTAAAGTAAAGACTTATTCAAAAGAACAATGGTAGTGAAGTGGATTCAGTTTCTATTAGTACAAAGGGACAAAAATGGTAATTAAAACAGTGGATGTGCCCACAGAGATGAGAACAAATATAGTAGAATGTTGCAAATGCCTTTCAGTTTTGGTCCCAGTAAGGACATTCCTTGGTTTCCATTTAGATCCTTAAAAATTTGGAACCATTGCTATTTCTCTCACATACAAGAAGTCCTCTTGCACAAGAACACCAAGGCAGGGAGGTTTGGGATCCTTTGTGACCAAAATCAAAGAGTGACATTTAAAAAAAAGAAAAGCTACAGATTAATCTGACATGGTTCATCCCATCCAAAGAACAAAAAACAATCATTACACTTTCTATTTTAGTTCCGCTACCTCATGCTTCCAAGATTTTGTTATTTCAGCAGCATCTTTTATGTCTTCCAAAGCATTTCTCAACCTGCTGTGATTGCTAACATGGAGCTTAGACCACTGAAGCAGGAAAAAGAAAAAAAAACTTGATGAAAACAAAAGCCACTGTGCTCCAGCTGTGGCCTGTGCCTTCTGGGAAAGGCTATCAAAACTATTAGCATTTCAATGATGTACAACTCCAAAAATTTCCAACTCTTAGAGGCAGTTTTTCTCCCTATTAGAGAATTGCATTGCAGAAAAAAAGACAGCAACACACTATGAATATAGTTTGCAAAGAAATGTGCATTTCCTAGCACAAAACTCATTGCCATTGCGTCGATTCTGACTCATAGTAACCCTATAGGACACAGTAGAACTGCCCCACAAGGTTCCCAAGGCTGTAAATCCTTATGGAAGCAGACTGTCCCCTCTTTCTCCCACGGAGCAGCAGGTGGGTTTGAATTATGGATCTTTTGGTTAGAAGCCAAGTGGTTAACCACTGTGTACCAGGGCTCCTCTCCTGAAGAAATGTCAAATAATGGTAACAGTGTCATCTGGTAACTTTTGTTCTGGCTAAGTCCTCAGGCTCACCTGTGGGATCACTCCAAAGGCTTTCCTCCACTGTTGCAAAGGTATCGAATCCCAAGACACACCATCAATCAGGATTTCTCCTTCAGTGTTCAGCAGCCTCAAAAAAGCTGATAACAAAGTGCTTTTCCCTGATCCGGTTCTTCCCAACAGTCCCACCTGTAAGTTGAAAGAGGTAGAATTACTCTCATCACACAGAGATACCATTCTGTCAATGCAATTCAGTATTGCACTTCAGTAAAAACCATTAGAATCTTTTTTCCACCCACAAGGGGAAGATCTTCACTTACTGATTCAAACCTTCCTGCACACTCCCACTACTGATCTGGGTCAGGGTAACCCTGGAACAGAATCCAGGAACTGGCCATAAGGAATTGGACCCATGATACTGGTTTCATTTATCATTGGCTTTACTAAAGACAGAAAGGTTGGAAATGTTCACTGTGTACTAACAAAAAGCAAAAATGCAATGTCTTCATGCACATCAATTCTAAGGATGGGCTCAAACTAGAATCAGAGACCTATAGCTCAGTCTATCTCCAAACATGGATACAAATTTGAAAATCAATTAATCTGAAACAAAACAAACCCACTGCCATCAAGTCGGATTCAACTCATAGAGACCCCTCCTTTGGTTTCTGAGGTGGTATCCCTATAGAAGTAGATTGCCCAACCTTCCTTCCGGGGAGTGGCTGGTGGGTTTGAACTGCCAGCCTTCTGGTTAGCAGTCAAATGCCTTAGGCACTATGCCACCAGAGCAGATCTCATATTGAGAAATAATCCTTAAGCAATTAAGTAAGAGTCAATCTCAGGCTTAACAATACACAAGAGTAAATTAAAACAAATAATAACAAAAAATGTTTGCCGTCAGGTTGCTTCTGACTCATGTCAACCCAATGTGTTGTAGAGTAGAACGCTCCATAGGGTTCTTAAGTCTGTGACCTTTTGGAAGCAGATCATCAAGCCTTTCTTCTGAGGTGTCTCTGGGTGGGTTCGAACAGCCAGCCTTTAAATTAGTAGTCAAGCACTTAATTGTTTGCACCACACAGGGACTTCTAGAATTAGTCTAGTAAAGTATATAATCCTATAGAAAGCAGCTTGGAAGGAAGTCTCACCAGTCCTCAGTGGATAGCACTTGGTTAGTTATCAAATCATTTTCTTACTCCCACCCTGATTGATAAGATGGATTTTCTGAAAAGCAGATAATATAGTAAAGAAAAAATCTGTTACATAGAGATAGTAAAGGAGCTCTGGTGGCGTAGGGCCTAAGACATTTGGCTGCTAACCAAAAGGTCAGTGGCACAAATCACCAGCCACTACACAGAAGAAAGATGGGGCAGTCTGGTTCCATAAAGATTGACAGCCTTAAAAACGCAATGAGGGTTGTTGCTATGAGTCAGAATTAACTCAGTGGCAGAGTTTGGTTTTGGTTTTGAGAGACAGTAAGGATATAGCATGGAAGTGAGAATGTCATGCACCACATAGGGAAAGCAGGTGATACAGGTGGCCCACTGGCATCCCCAACTCCATGGTCTTATTTTAGCATAGATCTCAACACCTAGAGGAAGGTGCTTAGAGTGGAGTGAATAGAACATGTATTCAGTCATTAACTAAACACTGACTAGACTGACCAGCATTTAGTGGCACTGAATAAATGTTCATTTTCTTCTTCTTCTTAGATTATTCCTATTTTTTTTTGTATCTCTTAGCCTCTTTACAGTGTAGCTGAGAGCAACTGGTCTTTCAGAGCAGTGTTTTTCACATTGTATATGGTGAAAGACAGTTTTGCATTGTTTTTAAATTTCCAATCCACTGCCAATAAATATTTTAAAAATACAATACAAATAAATTTATAAATGTTTATTCTCAATTTCTATACTTATCTCGTCATGAACCAGTAACAGTTTGTAAATCAGGGCCAGTCCACAGGCCACAATAAATGTTGTAGAATGTGTAACAAACTACGAGAATAATAATGAGTCATTGAGCACTTATGTAACTGGTAACACACTAGGTCTTTAGGATAAGTTAGTAAACAATAATGAGACCGTTGTCTTTCTATCCATCATAAAAGCTCCATAATAGGGTTTCACAAATGTTTTTTCTCTGAGACAAAGAAGTCTAGATCAGCCAAATGTTATTCATAACCCTCTGTTAAGTTTCTTCATAGCATTAATCACCATCAGTAATTATTTTACTTTTTCTTGATTATTGCATGTGGTTATTCCAAGAATACCAGTTCAACAATAGTTTGTGAGTCTATCTTGCTTTTCATGGAATTTCAGGCATCTGGCATGAGTTGGCTCATATAAGGTTCTCAATAAATGCTTATTTGCATGAATTTAGGGACAGTCAGATGGATGGCTAGATGAAAGGACAGATGAACGAATAAACTTATTTAGTTGATGAAACAAATTGATTTAGTCAAGTTTGGACAATTACCAGATAACTCTTCATTTAAAAATTCTGTGGAATTTCACACACATACTTCCCTTTATAAATTGGCCTGTTTCCCAGACACAACTCTTTATATGAACATGTTTTATATGTACAATCTGAATATGCTCTGGGCAAGGAGGCTTGGAGAAAGAGAAGTCCAGTAGGAGGAAGTGATATGCTCTAAGGTCACATCAAGAATCTGTGGTAAAGACAAGATAGATCCCAAGAGAAAAACACCAAGACATATTATAATCAAACTCTCCAAAACCAAAGACAAAAAAAAAAAAAAAAAAAAATTTTGAGAGCTGCCTGGGATAAGAGAAATATTACTTATACTAATCAAACAGTTAGGCTAAGCTCCAATTACTCAGCAGAAACCATGCAGGCAAGAAGGCAATAGGACGGCATATATAAAACACTGAAGAAAAAGAACTTCTAACCAAGAATCCTATATCCGGCCAATTTATCCATCAGATATGAGGGCCAAATCAAGGCATTCTCAGACAAACAGAAATTAAGGGAATTTGTAAAAACCAGATCAACCTTACAAGAAATGCTTAAGGAAGTTCTTCCAATAGAGAACCCACAACAGAGATCAACAAAATCAGGATATGTGACATCAACACTAAAACCAAATCAGAAATAGAAACTCAAAATAAGACCACAAACCATTGCACTCTAAAAACCAAGGGCGTCAATCACACAACAACAGTAACTAACCTATCAGAGGGAATAAAACTTCTAGGTACAAACTTCCAAATGGAGAGGAAAACAGGACAATGTCTTCATAGTACGCACTGTTCTAAAAATGTAGAGACAAGAATATACTCCAAGGTAACCACAGAGAAGAGTAACAATCCCCCTAAGCAAATCCAGAAGGAAGGAAAACATCTGGGCTTAATAAGCACAAAACCAACAATAAAGAAGAAAAGGGAGAAAGCATTAGCCAACAAACCAAACTCAGCACAGAAAAGTATAGGGACCAAGGAAACACCAACAACATGACGAAAACCACAATAGAATGACAGCAATTAATTCATACCTATCATTAATTACACTCAATGTGAATGGACTAAATGCACTTATCAAGAGAAAGAGAGTGGCAGATTGGATAAGAAAAGAAAATCCATTGATTTGCTGCCTACAAGCAACCCACCTTAGACACAAAGATAAAAACAAATTAAGAGTTAAGGAATGGAAAAAAAATATACCAAGCCAGCAGAAACCAAAAAAGAGCAGGAGTGGCAATATTAATCTCTGACAAAATAGACAGTAAGGTGAAAAACATCATAAGAGATAAAAAAAGGACATTGTATGATGCTGAAAGGGTCAATTGACAAAAATGTTACAATAATAAATATTTATGCACCCAATGAAAGTGCTCTAAAATATGTGAAACAAATATTAATTGAATTAAAAGGGATAATAGACAACTCTAGTAGTAAGAGACTTTAACACATCACTTTCAAAAAGGGACAGGTAAACTAGGAAAAAACTCAACAAAGATACAGATGAACTCAACAATACAATCAACTCGACCTCATAGACATAAACAGAGCATTTCACCCAACAAAAGCATAATTCACATCCTTCTCCAGTGCACATGGATCCTTCTCCAGAATAAACTATATGTTAGGACATAAAAAAAAAAACCTCAATAAATTCAAAAGCATTGAAATACTACAAAGCATCTTCTCAGACCACAATGCTATAAAATTAGAAATTAATAATAGGAAGAGCAAGGAAAAAGCATCAAACATACGGAAGCTGAACAACTCACTGCTCAAAAACTACTGGGTAACAGAAGAGATGAAAACTGGAATAAAAAAAATTCCTAGAAACAAATGAGAATGAAGATACATCATACCAAAACCTATGAGACACAGTGAAAGAAGTACTTAGAGGACAGTTTATAGCAATAAATGCATACATCAAAAAAGAGGAAAGAAACAAAATCAACACTCAAACTCATCAACTCCAACAACTAGAAAGAATTCTACAGTATCTAGAAGTAAGGAAATAATAAAGACCAGAGTAGAAATAAATGAAACAGAAAAAAAAAAAAAAAATAGAGAATATCAACAAAACAAAAAGCTGGTTCTTCAAAAAGATTAATAAAATCAATAAACCATTGGCAGACCTAACAAAAGAAAAGAAAGAGAAGACCCAGATCACAAGAATTGTACTGAAAATGGTGTCATCACAACAGAACCAACTGAAATAAAAAAGATACTGACAGAATACTATGAAAAACTGATTTGAGAACCTAGAAGAGATTGACAAGTTTCTTGAATCACAAGACCTACCTAAACTATCCCACTTAGAGATAGAAAACTTGAACAGACCTATAACAAAAGAAGAAATTGAACAAGTCATAAAAAATCTTCCCACAAAGAAAAGACCTGGCTCTGATGGCGTCTCTGGAGAATTCTATCAAATATTCAGAGAAGAGTTGACACCTATACTACTCAAGCTATTCCAGAACATAGAAAAAGATGAAATACTCCCAAACTCATTTTATGAAGCAAGCATAACACTAATACCAAAACCAGGGAAAGACATCACTAGAAAGGAAAACTACAGACCAATATCCCTCATGAACATAGACGCAAAAATCCTTAACAAATCCTAGCCAACAGAATCCAACAACATATCAAAAAATTAATACACCCAGACCAACTGGGATTCATACCAGGTTTACAAGGATGGTTCAACATCAG